GTGTGGTAATTGGTCAGATTACCTTTTCGTAAAATCTTGCTTTATCATGAACAGTCAAATATTTCTTCCTTTTAATGGACTGCAATGCTTTAACTTTCGCTCAGTGCACTCAGTGCTGCTCTACTGCTGAGGCAGCAATTCTGTGTCCAGCCATAAAGCAGCGAACACAAAAAAACGGGGGGCAAAAAAATGCAATACAATTTCATTTTATGCAAGAAACAACGCTGGCGGAAAGCAGGAGGAAAAGCTCGCTTTTTGGTGAAAAATTGTAAATTCCCATTAGAATTGCGCCGGTGGCGCGGGGGGAAAACGCATCATGAAGGAAGGAAGAAAGTAAGCCGAGGAAATGAAATGAAACCAAAAATGAAACGAAAAGCGGACTCCGAGGAGATGGAAGCGGGTAAGTAGGTAAGTGTATGGTATGTTACATGCATAAATAAATAACCAAAAAAATGGCAAGAGGCGGCAGCAAATAATGTAAGAAATAAAAAAGATTAAACTTGAAGGAACAAAAATAAAACGAATCTTTTAGAGGGAAGACATGGAGACTTTCAAGAAACTGCAGGAATTAAAGAGCAGTCGGGAAAAACAGATAAAGTAGCGACAAACTAAGAGTGGGATAAATGCCTAAATAAAATGTTTGTTTAATATTTATGTAATTTTTATGTTATCGAAAAATATGGTCGATTTAGTTATAAAAACAACAAAATGGAAGGAATATTTTCCATTTTTTTCCAACATCTTTAAATGCATGGAGGGTATAAGGGAATATTCTCCGACTTGAGATCGTATTTTTAAGCTCTTCCTATATCTTTTATCATTTTATCCCACTGTGGGTCGAGGCAAAAGGCTGCGAGTTCAAAATGCACCTGGCAAAGTGCCTCCGCTGAGCTTAAAAGAAATGACTTCTTGTTCCGCCAGCAGTTACCTCTTTTCCAGCTCCACTCGCCCATTTTTCAAGAGTCTCTATTTCTTTTTTTGTCCTTATAAATGTGTTTTTTCTATTTTCTTAGGTATTTTCTGCTCCTTTTTTCTGTTTTTGGTGCAAACGAAGTTTACGCGTGCTGATGCAGATAATGACAGTCAGTCAGTCAGAGAAAAACGGGGGCGGGATGGGTTGGTTGGGGAAAAGATGGATCCATATCCATGGAGATGGTCGGACGTTGTGTGCCTTTTGGAAACTTGTTACCTATTAGGAGCACACACGGGCGAGGACTTCCTGCTCCTCCAGTCCTGTCTTGTTCTGTCCTGGGAGCCTCTCCGGGCACCGAGCAATTACAGAAAGAGCATCGGCAGGATAAGGATAAGGATAAGGATAGCGAAACCAGGCTAAAAGGAAAAGGTCCAACGACCTGAAATCTTTTCTCGGCTCCGTTCTCAGGCCATAATTGCTTGGCAAGTTAATAAGTGGCAAGTCAAAAAGCTTATCCCCTGGACCCAAAGCCAAAGCCCCTCGCACTTTCCCCCCATTTCCTCCAAAGAACACACACACTCGAGTGGCAAGTTGCATTCCATTGCAGCCGAGAGCGGAGGAAAATGCTCGGGCTTTTCCAACAGCTCAGGCATTTTAATTAGCGCATTACCAGCGGAAAGGAGCAGGGGCTGCCGTGGAGACGAACCCCTCGACAATCGACAAACCCAGCTCTCGACACCAATTTTTTTATGGCCAGATGTATAAACGATATGGAAACACAGGGAGCAGTGCGTGGCAGACATTCACGAACTTAGACGCAGGCTTAACTTGGGATTCAAGTGCCAGAAAAAGTATTTTGTAGATGGAATTTTCTAGAACTCACAAAGAAGCACCTGAAACATTAGTATTACTTATTAAAACTATATATTGATTACCTCTGGTTATTTATTATCATCATTTACTCCCTAATTGGCTATTAGATTGGCTATGGATTAGGCTCATATTTAATTATGATTTTATGAACACATTTTAAGAGATCCATTTCATATAAAATCCCATGATAAGTAATCCGTCCATATAAAATAAAATTATTTAAGTGTCTTTCTGGTGGTCTCAATTTAGATATTCAAGTATTTTTTGAAGTTCTAGTAATCGATCACTTAAAAATAAAGATTAATATTAATTTTAAATTTTAAAAGTGAATATTTTATGCTTCTTAAAGAAATCTCCCCTAAAATAATTTTAAAGTCCTAACTTTTTTATTCGCTTTGGTACTTGATAAATACAGATTGCAATGCCACTTGCTAATTTCCGAATATTTGCTACCCCCTAGAGTTTTCTCACGTCAGCCCCCACATATAACTCTCCATATTCGCTCACCTTTTGGGGTAATAAAACTCAATCCCAATCGAACTAAAAATGGAAAAGGTGAAAATAAACGAAGGTAAGACCCAAACTCGGAGTCAACTTGCCAATCAATGTTCGCAGACTTCGATAAACGATTGCTGTTGCATTTTTTCCTCGAGGAAAACTTCCTGCGGAATGGAGTCCTTGGACCATGTCCACGAGGAAGAAGAAGAGGAAGGGGAAAAGTGTCCTATTGTCAGGTGTTGCCACGCCCACCGGGGGGCGCACTATATAAATGATGTGGCAGCTGCCACTTGAGGGGTGCAAAAAATGGAATAATATTGGGAGCTGGAAATCAATTCCAATTCCAATTTCTTATTTAACATTTTGATTAATGCAAGCAGCAGTCGAATATGCAAAGTTTGCGGAGAGTTTTTCCTGCACATTTTCCTGCACTTTTTTTCGAACTTTTTTATACTTTTTTCGACAATGGCGGCCACTTGACACATGCTTAAGCACCCTCACACACACAGGCGCAGTCGAGTAGGTAGGACATGAGGATAAGGCGTTTTCCACAGCTGCTCCCGTTTGCCATTTGGCTTTTTGCAAAGCCAAATGTTGTCAAATAATATTTACCCAGCCACCCACACATGGGAAATATGCAGGATATTGGCTATATACGTGTGGCCAAGGAGCTCAGCCCCGCAGAAATAAAATGCAAAGTGTGGTCTAAAAAGTTTAAAGTGTGGCAAATCCAAAAGACGGAAAATATCAGTGGAAATGTCAGGAAAAGCGTTGGAAAAGATAGAAGCTTTTGAGGGGATCTTTGGATTTCTGGGCTGAAAATTGGTATATATTGCTTTAGCTTTAAAATGGGTTATAGAAATTATGCTAAATTCTATTTTTCACAATTCTACCTATAAAATCTTATAATAAGGTGTGGTTTAATCTCTTAAAATCAGCATTTTTAACCCTTATGCTAACATTGAATATGAATGAACACAGGAAAATTCTTAATGAACTCGGAAATAGCTGTATAGAGGCTAATAAAAATCACTTTAGTTAATTAAAACGGTTTTGGTTCAGTAAAAGCATTCTAAAACATTTTTATTCAAAAAATTGCTTAACATTTGTTGAATTGCTAAAATGAAAATGCAACAATTAAAGTTAAAGGGCACAAAATATGGCCACTTGACGATGGTAATATATACTATACATAGGAGTTCTAAGTACCGAGTACGGAGTTCTCGGGGGAATTAGCATCTTACCCCTTTTCGAGTGGCAAAGTCGGGCCCCCTTCGAGTGGCAAGTTTCAAATTACACGCCTCGCCGGTCCGGGAGCAAAGTTAACGAAAATAAATGAAATATATATAAAGGACATTGGAGCGGAACAGTTTTGCCGGCGAGGAGGAAAAGCGGCGACATGTTCAATCTGTCCAAGTCACGGCGTCTGCGTCTGCGACCAATCCAATCCAGTCCCTTCCAATTCCAACTTTATCGCCAATAATTCTCAACTGTCCGTTTATGTCTCTGTTTCTGTTCCCCGATATATAAATATATACAAATATATAGATGGAGATATAGATATATATTTGTATTTAATACCGGGAGACAGACAAACAATCATATCGGGCTATTTACGGCAGCCAGCCAGAAACCAGAAACCAGAACCGTAAAAGATACAATTCATAAAGCCGAAAGACAAAAGTTAGACAAAACACTTTTCCAAGGAGACGTGGTGGAAAAGCGTTTTATAGATAGCCAAATCGGGCAACACCCACTCACACACATGCATTGTGTGTACGTGTGTGTGTGGGGAAAACTTTTGTGTTGGTCCTTTGTTGTTTGTATTTTGTTTAGATGGCATAAATTAGATACGTGCCCGCCCAAGTCCAGGACATCGGGATATCAGGACATCCCACTGGAAATCCTTCTCTCCACCCGATTGTTTGGGCTTTAAACAAACAGTGGCGGCGGGGTAAAAGGGATGGAGGGGTGGGCTGCGGAGCATCCTTCACTGTGTCACCGATTATGTCCTGCTGGTCCTTCGGTCATCATAACAGTGGGCTATCACATATATATTTGCCCTCAACTTGGCGGCCCGCAAAAACTGCAAATTGCAGTTTGGACTGGCCAAACAATTTTCTGATTAATTTCAAGTTTTGTGTAAACTGTTGAAACATTCCATGATGCTGATGATGCTTATGTGTGCCCGAAAATTTCTGTTTCCCCCGGCCCTTCCGCTTTCCCGCTTTTCCGCTGGCCTTTTTGCGCCGACAGCCAAGCCAAATGAAAAGTTTCCCCTCTTCACTGAATGGCTGAGCAAACTGCGAGCGAGGGAGCGAGATCTAAATAAATAATTAGTTCGCATTTATTTCATTAGACAAACCGGAATCCCGAGGCAAAAACTTTTGCGGATAACTAAAGACCCTAAATGGGTGCCAGGAAAACGACTTTGGAAACATATGTGCTTAAATGGCCCACTCCTGCAATTTGTCTAAAAAACTGGGTTTCCAGGGGAGTTCCATTTCTTGCTTGGATGCTAGATGATGTTCTACAAAGTGTCATTTGTTATTATTAAAGCTGCAAGCGCAAAACGCGAATTCTTAAGTCGAAATCTTAAGGTAAATGATTTATGAAGCAATAACCACTAAGAAAAAATTCCTTTTGGAATACACTTGAAATGTGTCTCTTAACTATTTAATTTTAGTGTTTAAACTCACCGTTTTAAAAAGTATCTTTATATCATGGAAGTTGCCATCTCAATTCGCGAGTTCTTCAGCCCTATGATTAGTTTGGTTATTTATTAAGCTTAAGTCACCAAGAACCAATTTACTCCTTCCCTTTCAAATCAATTTTCTGTTTACTAATTGAAATCATTAGTTTTTCTCATATTTAGCTCATTAAGTCCCAGTTGATTTGTGGAACCTGCAAGTCACCTTAACTCTTCATTATCTCATCATCTAATTAATCCGCTTTAATCTCCTTCAATTATCCCCTTTGATCATCTGGCATTCAAAGGAAATCCCCTGCTCGTTGCTCTGGTTTTATTTTTGCCTCATTTTCTATTTTTCAAATGCCACGCCCCCATTTTCCATGCCCATTTTCATTCCCGCTGATGGAACTTTCAATTAGCGCCAAGTGTAAAATGGAGCAGCGGTGGCATCATTTTCATCAAATTACCAGTGACACCGACACAACCGATTCCCTGGCGCTTTTCCGCCGCGTTTCCCTTGGCGGGTGCCACGCCCCCAGATTTCCCACGCCCCCCCGCCCCCGCCACCGATTTAGGGCGCTGCAGCGTGTTCATCTTTTCCGTTGCCACGGTTTTAGCCATTTTCATTTCTGGTCGACGATGACACAAAATGTCGGTCACTTGCGGCTTACCCTACTACTTTTCCCACTCCCGCGCAGCATTTTCCCACCCCCCCCCCCCCTGTTTTAGAGCCCCCTCCACCACTTCGGTGTACCCAATTTGTAGAATGCTGCAAATAGCCAGGAAAATTACCTCATGCGCATTTTCTTATTACAGAAATGTGCATAAGAAAATGGACGTAATGAAAAAATCTGAATAACAACAACATGGGGCAGAGGGAAAAGCGGTTGGAAAACGCAGAGGGGTGAGAATAGTCGAAGTAAAAAATACCTGTTGGGAATTCAACGGAAATGAAAGAATTTATTTTAAAATATTCAAATGAAATAGATGGGATTTTTCGAGGGAGAAAATAGAGAAATTAGTTGTTCATTGGAAATTTAATGGGAAAAAAGGTTTTTAAAATAGTTAGAACGTTTTTTGGTAATTAGATAATAATAAAATATATAGGAAAACATTATGATGAATGTTGATAAAGGATAATTAAAATGTAAAATATACAATTTTTTTAAAAACGATGGAAATCTTATGTAAAACGAAAGGAAAGAAAGGAAATAGAGCGGTAATCAAATATTTTTGTGCAGGGAAACAACATTGAAAATGTGATGCCGAGCAAAAAAAGAGAAATGCAATGGAATGGAACAGAGGAAAAGTCACCTTTCCTGCATTTCCTTTTCCCTCTATGTCTCATGTATTTTCCTATTTTTTCGTTGCATTTTTCCCCCTTGGGAATAACTGGCTGCAAATTGAAAATACCAAGGCGTATAAAACAAGACAACAAAATGGAGAATCTGGAGACAAGGAACAAACGGAATGCAAATGACGCAAAAATGGAAATGGATGGAAATTGAAAACCAGCGGGGTGGTGAGCAGAAGGGGGGTGGGGGGTTGATAGGGCAAAATGAAAAATAATTAGCGCAATTAATGACCACGTAATTAGCGCTTCAAATCTATCCTTCTCCCTCACTCCGCGTGTTTTGCATCTGCCGTCTCTTTTTGCCGCAATGTGTGCAGTGGCACGTAAAGTGTAACCAACACCCCCTCGCTTTCCCACCCAAATCCCCCAACCAGATTTCCCCCAGCACCACCACCTTCATTAATAGTTCGCTGTGGCTACGTTTGATAACTCTATCGCGGTCCGGTTGCCACTGATTTTCCTTTTTCCCACTTTTCCCACTTTTCCCACTTTTCCGACTTTCCCCGAGTGAAAGAGTGCAAGAGTGGAGAAGAAAAGTGGAGAGCAGATCCCAACGACACGCTAATGAGTGCACGATGGCCCCGTTTCGTTTTCCAAAAGGGGTTTCCATCGGAAATGCAACTCTGTCATGGCATTTCTTCATCAGCATTTGAGGTTAGCGAGAAATCCACGCAGATCGGCGGGGAAAAGCGCGCAAATGGACGGCGGCTAATTAAAAATGGCCTTTGATTAGGCCAAAATGTTAAATTAACATTAGTGCGCGCTAAGAGGTGCCTTTGGTTTTAGTCAACGAGCAGCGAGAAAAAAGGAATGACAATTCATCTGGCTTTCTGCGAAATTAGTAAACTTTAATCACGGAATTGTGGAATTTATTTTGATTTAGTTAGAAAATAGTATACCCAACAAATAAGATGAAAAAGCCATATATTATACTTTATAGTAAAGGAATAAATAGCATACAAATCGAATAATTTGTGGAATTAAATTTAGTGTACTTCTCCTACAGTATATATAGAAATCTAATAATAATTAGAAAAGGCTTAATAATAATATATATATATATTTATAGGACTCTAAGCAAATAAAGATAAGTAAAGAAAATTTTTGGGTGGTGCTCTCCACTCGGTTCCCAAGTAATCCCCACTCATACAGCGCGGAAGGTACTACGATTCCTTAACTTATGAACAACTTAAAAATTCATTGTCTACACATGGTGCCCAGGACCTCTCTGCAGGACCTTTCTCCTGGGAAAATGAAGACGAGTGGAGAGAGGGGGGGCAAGGTCCTCCTACTGGTTGGCGAATGAAAAACGAAAAACTGTCATCATGTGACGGGAATCAATCTAAAGTCATTTTATAACCCGAAAAGTCATAAATCTAACTTTAATGTTTTAAACGTGACTGCGGCACGAGGTCCCCGGACCACGCCCCCACCACCCAACCGCCCAACCGCCCACATATGTAACGATGTGTGTGTGTGTGAAAGAGAGGGACAGACAAACCTCCGGCATTGAAATTGGAAAAGTAAAACAAGCAAATGAATGTATTTCCGTTTGGGATTTTTCACTTTCCGGCTTTGGAGAAGGAAGTCGAGGAAAAGCTGGGACGTCGGGGGCGGTCTTTTCCGCAGTCACTAGAAGGGGCGTGGTGATTGGGTGGGGGGCGGTTGCCAGAAAACACTATAAATGACAAAACGAATTCAAGGAGAAGTCGTCGAGCTGAGACAGGAAAATAGATAGAAAATTTTATTAAATGGGCATCAAAACTATTTGGCGTGTCCCTAGCAGGGGCGTGCAGTGGGTGAGAAAGGGGGGTGTCGAAAGGGGGATAGGCTACCCCACCGCACAGGGTGGGAAAGTCCCCTTAGCTAAATTCATGGGCCAAATGGCGTAGCATACTTACGTGAGCCACACATAAAATTCAAGCACCGCATGCGGTCAACGAAGGTGAACACTAGAGAGAGACGGGCATATGCCGTGGAAAGGGAGGGCAATAGGCAGCCAGAGCGAGGAGACAGAGACGGAGCGAGATGCCCGGGCAATGTGTGACAGGATTAATTAAGTGCCGGCAATGGAATCGTGTCCATAACGAATTGTGAGATTAATATGGCCAGCCCAAGAAGGATGGGAACTGCAGGAGATTATTCCTTAAAGCGCACAAATATTGAAGATACATATAGACCATACAAAAAAGGACAAAATTTAAATAACTAGATCTTTGAAGAAATCTGTGATTATAAGTATAGGCTTTTTTTAATATAAGCCAAAGAAAAGTTCACAACATATAGAAGAAAGAATATATATATATCAAAAATATAAAATGGAGTATCCATTTGGTGTACCAATCTTTTAATATTAGTACAAATAGAGAATCCTTTAAATAATCATTAAAGAACACAATAGAAATGCCGCAATATTTATTATAAATCAGGAGTCCAAATTGGCATACAAAATTATCTTTTAAAGCTCTCAAAAAACGTACAACCCCTTTATACGCACTAAAAACACAATAATACATTGGTGGGAAAAAACTTGAATTGAGGTCAAACGGATATTTTACGGATCTTTTTTTGCAGGGCTATCTTTTCTTTATGGTGTTTATCGCGAATTAACTATCGCTTAAAATAATCCGTTTTATTGTGTGTAGAAATCGTTTATGCAATGCCAGTGTCCCTTTTTTACTGCCCATAATTTCGGGGGATAAAAAATTGCACTCACTCTGTGAACTCTTCTCCGCAAATTGTGCTGGGATTATATAACGTTTGGCCGAAAAGGAACCAAATCGAATATGCCCATTTTGGAAAAATCCAATGGCCATCAAAGTATAATAACCAACAAACCGAAATCGCATTTACAGATATAGATTTCCCCGAAATTTATCGCCCCCGGGGGAACCGAGATATATATTCTTTCTTTCCAGTGTGCCTGCTCATGTGTGTGTAATTTAATCAATAAGAAAATCGTCTTTTCACTTACATACACATCATTACATTTGGGCGCATAAATTGATGATGCTCCGGGGGCGGAGGGGGAAATTCACGTGGGCTTACCTGGAAAAAACGATGGGAAATTGGGGAAAAGTTTGCAAATTTTAGTAAGCGATTGGTGGCATAAATTGGTGTATTTAGAGGGGCGTTTAGTAAGTTAAATAAAATATATGTTCGGGTTAAGTACGGTCTAGAAGAAATTATGAAAAAAGAAGCCTGAAGAGGGGCTTTAAAATTCTTGAATTCTCTGGTCAGATTCCTAAAATTTGAGTTCTCAAAAGAATTTCCCAATAATACCCCGCCCATTTTGCGTGAAGTGTACTTGCCAAGCATGACTTCTTCTGAGGAATGTTCCGCCTACAGCCCTACAGCCTTACACTACCGAAACCCACTGTACACGTGCATATTCGGATCTCATTTTAAATTCAATTTGCGGTCGAGTGTGAGATTTTTGCCATTGGGTCGAGATGGACGCACGTGCGACAATTGTTTGAGCTGTTTAATCACAGTGCGGTTGGATTTACCCGGTTCAGTTCGGTGGGAATCGGTTGGGGTTTTGGGTTCGGGTTTGAGTTTGGTATTCGGGTTAGGGTTTGGGGTTTTCGGGGCCGGCATTCGCGTCATATTTAATTCATTTTATTATTATGGTTATTGTCCTTGTTGCGGGATTGTCGAGAAGGAAATGGTTATGGTTATTCGACCAGAGAGTTCGGGGGCGGCAACTAAGCACAATTTATAATGATGGCGAGAATTTTCCAATTTAACAAACAATTCAATTAATGCAAATTACAATAGGAATCGGCACTAATGAATATTTTATGACGAAACTAATTTCATTTTCATACATATAATGCGGACATCGCAGCAGCAGCAGCTGGGCATCGATTGTAAATTGTTTACACGCCGCGGGGCCCATAAAATGATGAAATCAACTCCGCCCTCTAGTCGTCCAGCGCCCCTCCCCCCTCGAATTTTCCCGGCTCCACACCCTGGAAATCTCCGCTTATAATTGCCACAAATGTTGCTGGGACAACGGAAAATGGCAAAAGGGGTGAAATTAGACCTGTCAGACAATGGGGAAATAGTCCAGTAGAAAGGACAGGGGACCGTCCACAAAATACTAATTGTTCTGGAGTCGATGGCAGAGTTGGCACCCGCTGAATCAGATAATATCCCGCATAACCATATCATTAAAATTTTAAGTTGCCCATCATCATAATATTTAAAATAAGATGTATCATATCACTGCAATTGTAAACTGCACGTCACCGAAATACCATGACTTCGATGTAGTTTAAAACAGAGAACGGATATCTGAATCGTTTGTGTATAATACCTAGAATTTTTTTTTTTATTCAATACACACACTAAAATATTTTCAACTTCCTGAATTGAGTATTTAAAAATTTAAGCTATTTATTTATTCCCCAAAACCTTTTTATCTTGTAAATTATCTTTTTTAGTTTCCTATTTACTAACACATTTTTATACCTAAACCATTTTATGTATATAGTTTAAAATGCTCTTTTAAGTTTCTAAATGTTCTTTTATATATATTTAAGCTTTGCTTTCATTTATGTATTTTTTTTAGTTCCTTGCTCCCTTGTTGCCCAATTAAGTAAATGAAAACATAAGTTCATAGGTCCTTAATTGGCAGTGGTTGCCGTTTTCTTTCCACCCGGATTTCACTGTACTTCAGATTTTCCTTATTTCGGCGCTTCGATTGTTTGCGGCAATCCTTGTTTTCCAGTCTGGCTGCCGCATTGTTGCAAGTTGCTGCTGTTGCTGTTGCAAGTTGCTGGTGTTGCTGTTGCTGATGCAAGTTGCTGGTGTTGCTAGTTGCTGGTGTGCAGCTGATGTTGCTGCTGGGCTTTATGAAAACAGTTTCGCAATTATGCCGCCCGAATGGCTTGGAATTCTGATGTTGCTGTAGTTGCTGCTTGTTTTCCCTATTTGGCTAATGTTGCTGCTGTTGCTGCCGCTGTTGTTGCTCCTTTAGTTGCTGCTGCCTTTGTTGTCATTGCTTTCCACTGGCTTTTCCTCCGATTTGGTTTTTTATTTTTGGATTTTTCTGTTGGCCCGTTTCGTTTTCGTACCAACTTTGCCAATTTGGATGTCGTTTGGAGTTTTCCGGGATGGGGTCAAAAGGGGGGTCAAAGGGGTGGCACAAGGCCTTGTTGTTGTCGTCATAACGTTTATTAATAAGTTTTCCGAGCGGCTCAGTTGTTGCCATGCTGATTGTTGCTCCTGCTGTGTGTTTTCTCCTTGATTTCCCATTTTTTCGATACGATTTCTCCATATTTTTTTGGGCTCTGGGGAGGGGTCATAGGTCATAGCATGACTTGTCAGGAAAATGGGGGAAAAGTAAATAAGAAAAGCCAGAGAGACAGAGAGGGAGAGAGAGACAGGGAATTAGAGCAAAGTGCACTTTTTGATGACTTTTGATTTGTTTTACGATTCAGCCTCGGCTATGAATATTTATTGTCGTGCCGGGCTGCCATTTTCCGCTTTTCCGGCCTTCCGCCTTTCCTTTCCGTGGCTGTCTTTAAAATGCACGAAATATGTTTGCATGGCAACAACTTTTTAATTGATGTTTATTTAACGTTCAACATAATTAACTTGTGCTCGAGCATAATATTTAAGGGATCGTAAACGGGCATTATACGACCCATTAAATTGAATTTGTAAACGCTCGACTGCTGCTTACTACACTTATAAATCAGTATCTGTGTTTCTTTCAAATAGATTTGCTAGGAATTTTTATGCCGAGTCCCGTGATTTTCGTGGCTTTAAACAATGCCATAAACGTGGCCAAAAGACCGCATTAACACTGCCGCAAGCGCGGCGTTTCCCCTCTGTTTTCCCTCCGTTTTGCCCCGAGTTTCCTCCAAGTTTTCCCCCCAATTTTCCTCCCAGTTTTCTGTGACAGCCCCATCTAGTTTCGTCTCCACTCCTGGTATTTGCCTTTACGACTTTGGGTCATAAAAACCAGAGAAAGACTTCGGCGGGGAAAAAATGAACGAGAAGGAAATGTCGTGAAGGAAAATAGAATTATGGCGGGTGGGGGTTGGAAAAATCGGGAAAGGAGGTGCCAAAGGAAGGAAGGACTTGGGCTAATGATAATACTACGCATAATAATGTAACCAGCCACAAACAAATTTGATTTGCTGGCTCTCTATGGCGACTACAGTGCGTTTCAGGGCCATAAATCAATTAGGGAACGTTTAAGGGTATATTATCAGCATTTTGTTTCCCAGGGAAAGTAATATAGTATTTATGGTATATAGTTGATTTTCTGTGAACTCTCTGCTTACCGAGAAGGTATAATTTGCCATGAATATGCATTAGTTTAGTTTTGGGGATCATAATAATTTAAACTAACTATCTAATTTTGGTTTATCAAAATGACTACTGCACTAATTGCACCTATTTAAAAGCAGATTTTGTCACGACTTTCCTCATATATTTTACATTTATAATAGAAGTTTAGTCAAGAATTTAGAAACATCAAGTAGTTCCCTCCATCACTGGGCAGCACAACCCCCTCTGCCCGATTAATAAATTGCACTTGACAACGTTCACTTATTAATTTCTTTACAAAGTGCACAAGTCAACCGTTTTGTGTGGCTTTTCCGCCAGCCCCTGTTTCCCGGCTTTTCCGGCTGTACGTGACCAATAACAGGGAATTCATCGGGACCCCCAAACCCTGCTTTCTTCGGATTGTCAGACGAACTCATCGTGGAGTCAGTGGCCTAAAAACGACCATTATGGAGCTGCTCACTTGATCGTGCAATGTACTTTTCTCCTTGCTGCCCAGCACTTAGCACGTTCCCAGGGAAATCAAGAAAAGCTAGGAATGCTGGGAAAGCTGGAAAAGCCTGCCTGCCTGCAACAATGCACCAAATTAGCACAGGGCGAAAATTGAGCGTTGGAAAAGATTGGAAAATCCAGCTAGAAAAATTCGAACCAGAGGAAACTGCTTGATGTTGTCCCGCGTCTGGCATTGATTGCCATTTCCCAGCTAATGATGTGTGGAAAAGTTTATTTGGCCAGTAAACAACACGGAAAATGTTAAATAAATACCCAGATAAACAAGACAAAGAATAAAAGCAGCGAAACAATGCAGCACACAAGCCAGTGGCAATTCCAGATTTATGAGTGAGTTTGACGAACGTTTTATATACAGTATTTTTAGTGGTAAATAATATTCTAAAAATATTTCATGCAAAGTTCATTAATTTATTCTTTAACAAATATAAGTTAAAATAAAACTATTAGTAAAGGAATAAAAAATGCTTAAGAATTTTTTACAGAATGTATCGTACTCTTTTTAAAAATTCTTATATTTTTCATATACCATATCCCCAACATTTCTGGTATTAAATATACTTAGAATTGCAAAATCACAACTGGATCGGTGCAATCTGCTTGATGCGATGATTCCCACACGCCAAAACAATGAACAGATAAATGAAATTTATGATGGCCAAGAGGAAAATCATGTCAGGTTGAACATGAGCAGCGACCCCGAGCGTTAAATGCACAAATTCCGTGGAAATTGGCACGAAAAGTGAAGGCAACTGACGGCCATTTAAGGCCGGCGTGTTCAGAGATTATGTACCCGAAAAAAGGAGAAAAAGATATACGTAAATACAGCTAAGAAGATAATCCATAGAATTTGCGTGCCATCAAACGTAATTGGCGGCCATAAAAACCGATTCGGTTGACTCAAACCCACAAAGATACAAGGGCGCACATGGCGCATACGCAATTTCGCTTTGATTTGTCAGCGGTATAAAAATCAAATGTTTTATCTGAATACACATGCATATTTATTAGCCATAAATGTTAGCAACTTCATAAAGACTTTCGGCCTACGCACTGGGCCCCCATAAATCTGCTGCTAAACTGCTTAATTTGCCATTTGGTGCAGTTTTTGCCAAGCGATTTTAATAAATTCATAACCACAGAATGTGCCATGCAGGCGAAATTAATTTCATAAAATCACATACACACACATGTTGAAAATTTAAATTAATGAGGCGCAGCTCCGACACGCCCCTCTCTTCCGCCGCCCCTCAAAATAGATAGAAATCATTTCGGAGCTTTGTGAACTCATTTCCGCACGTGCGGATTTATGTTAGTTATATTCGCATTTCGCAAACGGCAGATCTTTGGCAAAAACTCTCCGAAAACGTAGAGAATATTATCTGCAAATTTATTCAATTTGAAGCCTGTCTAATTAGGTAGAAAATACAATTTATTTCGCTCTGTTTGCATTTAAACGGGCCATGAAGGGAAAGATGTCGGGCCAAGAAGTTTGGACACTATTGAAGCTTACTAAAAAATTAAAAAATACCTGCTAAATCATACAAATATTTTTTTTATTTTATTTATTCATAGGTAATACAAGAAAGCCTTTATTTAATAATGAGAACATATAACTCACTAATGAGTTCGATAAGGCTAAGATGTTATTAAAATCCAATTAATATGATAAACTATGCGAGCATAATTTATTTATCGAACCGCAATTACATATTATACACTATATTATCTAAATTGTGAAAAGGAATCCGGATCCATAATCCATAAATTATGTGCATATAAATTATGAAAATAATTTTTCCCATAACCAGAACGTAAATATATAACTGCAAGCCAAGATAAAGCTGAATTTTTCGCCAAAAACCATATTAGATTTTCTCAAATAGCCAGCAAAACACTAGCATTCTTCAACCAGGCTTTTGAGGAAAATTGGGAAATATTTTTCCGGCTCTTCTTGGCGCAATTTTTAATTAACTGCAGAGCTGAACGGCATGTCAAACAATGTCTGTGTGTGTGTTTTCGTCTGCTATTTATTTATTTATTAAATTTTGCACAGTTTTCGGTGGAAGATCTCCGGAAAAACCTCCTCCCAGGCATTTTTAATTATTTATTTCTGGTACAAATAAATTCTGATTTCCGTTGTCTGCTCGAGTGTGTGCTTGTGTGGGTGTATGGGTGTATGGGTGTGTATTTGAGCCTGTGTGCTGCAACTAATTATGTGAGCTCACACACACAAACAAAGCCGCGTGCGTATTAAATATGAATTATATTTTTGGGAGCCACTTCCACTTCCGTTCTGGCACTCAACCAACTGCCAAGTCAACAACAATGGCTAGCAGCGTCAATCAGGCCACGTCGACGTCTCATCAACATCTACGTCATCGCTTTTCCGCAGTGTGGGTGTGCTGCGGGTGTGTGTGTGTGAGTGCCTACAAGTATGCAATACTTTTTCGTTGAGCCGGAATTTAGTTTTGAAAAAATGGAAGGAAAAATGATACTGGAAAATGCTGAAAACAATCTTTAGGGAAAACGAACAAAAAAAATGTATATTCCAAGTACGTTTTTGTTATTTTAATGAAAGGTATTATTATTTTGAGAGCATCAGATATTTTAGACCTCCTAACATTTTTAAAAATGTGTTCTAGGTAATAAAAGGAATATTATGCTTAAATCAACTTTATTAGTCACTATTAAAAAAAAAATAATATTTAAATAACTACTTAAAGAATTTTTTTAACCCTTTATATATATTTCCAGTTCTAACATTTTCAAAATGTTTATTGTAAGTCATGAAAGGATTATTAACACTTTGGCTGGAATAGATCTTGTAATCACCATGAAAATCACTTTTTTTTCAACAAAACCAATTTGTATGATTAAAAATCCACAGATTTTATTATTTTATTACTGGAAAACCAGAAAAATGCGAGCTGTGACTCGAGTACTTTGGTATATTTAAACAGAACTGTGCGAATTTCTTCGCATACATGAGTGCAATTTATCTCGGCAGCTAACGATACGCCGGGCACAATCACTCCGAGCTAGACCTTCCCATATGGAGACCTATTAACCCAGCTTTTGCCCGCCCCGTTCCGCCCGCCTCTTTTTTTGTTGCCTGCCCGTATTTATTTGTTGGTCGTTGTCGTGGTTTCCGGATTTTGTTTTGTTGCAAATGTTCGCTGTTCCATAAGCATTGTCAGGCCACGCCCACTGGCCCCATTTGGCCGCTTTTCTCCCGCCCACTTTTCCTAAGCGGCTACATCATGCGCTCAACGATGCGACAACGTTTTATTAATAATACTTGAAGGGCTGATGGGGTTACGAGAAAATGTTGCAGGCAGTCGTCGGCGTTTTAATGCCCCACATAAGGCGGGTGGAGTGGGCACAAAAAGTGGAAGAAAGTGGCGAGGAGAAAGTGGGGAAGGAGTGGAAAGTGGAGCGACTCATCTGACGTTACTCATACGCCCCGTGGACTGCATTTGATTTTGTTTCCTTTTTGAGTGTGTCATTGCTGGTTGCAGCTGCTGCAGCGCCCATGAAATAAATGAATGTGTAGAATAAAAAGTAATATAAATAAATAAAATGGCTGAAAGCAGCAGAGTAAAAGCATTGACCCGCACTTAAGGTGGATTTTATATTGCCAAAAACTCAAGGGACAGCTGAGATTAGAGAACCTTTTAGAAAATTAGAGCAGCTGAGGAGCGGAAGCTTAAAATCAGCTTACGAGCGATTTAAATATTTTACCTTTTAGCAAGGGGCTTAACTTTTCCCAGTACCCAAGTTGGTGTTGAATTTACGGTGGAAACGTTCAAGTATTTTTACCTGTGTACGATTAACCCACGTCAGCCCACCAGCCATGTGCAAGTACACATGTACATTGTACATATGTACATCCCCCGGCTACATCATTCAACTTTCATTTTGGGCTGCTAACGATGCTTCTGATACATACTAATAACTTCTTTCATTAAAAATTCCTATGGGCCGCCGTCAAAAGCCATAACCGCCGAAAAGGGGCGGGTGTGGGCATGGTCGTGGGTGGAAAATGATGACGGGCCGTGGAAAAGGGGCGGGGCAAAGCACACACTTGAGCGACGCTAAACTCGTCCAATTAGTAGCATTTAATTTGGTAAACAGCGGCATTTTCGTGCTTTTGCATTTTTTTGTAATTAACAACAACAAGATCATGATTATGATGAAGATTAGGGAGAAAATGATAAAGACGATGCTGATGCGGATGATGAAGAAGGCGAACAACAGAAGAGTTGGCGGGTTTTATGTGTGCTCGATGTAGCTCTTTCTATCTTTGTACAGCCATCTCTTTCCACAAAAGTCTTCAAATGCATAGAGATACTTTTTAAGTTCTCATTAAAGTTCTCAAAATATAGTAAGAAATCATATTTTCTGCTTAGAAAATGAGACGTAAGTCATTAAAATTATGATAATAAGAAAAGTATCTCTTAGATATTGCTCCCTTATAATATTCCTCAAAATATATCCTATATTTATTTTTATTTTTATTTATACAAAATTAAATTATTTTTTTAAGTGCACTTTCTCCCCACGGTGTATATTTCTGGTGGTTTCCCGAGCATATGTTTGCATTGCTGCCGCATAACGCCTTTCATGTTTGGGGACTTTTTCCAACAACCCCATTTCCCGCACCAAAATCATTATTTTGATGTCAACAACGTGCCAGGAAGATGATTGCCCCGGAAAATCCACCACCCCCGGCCCGACAGTTTTCCCATCATCCCCTTGTCCAATGACCAACACTTTCGCTTAATTTTTTTTTGCACCTGACCATCCAGTAAAGCTTATTAAAAAAGGAAAAAGAAACACCTTCACCTCAAATAAAAAGACAGGAAAAATGGGGAATTTTTTGGAGTACGTTTTTTGTTATTATTTT